CCGCCCGCCAGCGCCTCGGGCCCACCCGCGCCCTCCAGCTCGTGCTCGATCTGGATCTCCTGCTCCAGCCCGACGTAGTCGTACGCGTACTCGCCCATCTCCGCGTCGTCGATGCCGAGCAGCTCCGCCTCCTCCGAGGCGCGCAGGCGCAGCGTGGGGAGGAAGTGCATGATCCAGAGGATGATGGTCTATGTATGCGTTAGCTCGTACACAGGGATAGAGGAAGACGGAACATACGGTCATGACGAAGCTATACGACAGACTCGCCACCGAGTCCGCGAGCTGGTACGCAAGCTGGATATAGTGGTGGTCGAGCCACCCGCCCGGGATCGCCGTCGAGCCGTCGTAGAACTGCACGTCGCGAAAATATCAGTTTCATACATACTACAGGTTGGGGCGATAGAGAGGGAAACGCACCGCAACCCTGCTCTGTGCGAACAGACCCGTCAACAAGTTGCCCACAATCCCGCCGACGGCGTGCGAGGCGAAGATCTACGCCAGGGAAAAATAAAGATCAGCATCCCAGCATCCGAAAAGGTCAAGTCCAGGAAAGGAACAAAAAAGGCGCGGAGAAACGATGGATCAGTGGACAATCGAATATGCGCGGAGAAACGATTTCGCGGCGAGGAGGCGAGGGCGAGCTGTCGGCCGCATCGAGACTCGTTATCGCCGTGCGAGCCGGCGTATCGCGAAAACACACGCCCGCATGGCGCCCCTCGGCGCCATGCGGGTGTGCGAACGGACGCGAGGTGCAGTCAGGAGGCGAGCGGGCGCCGGGCTGCGTCTGGACAGGAGCTCCAGGCCAGACGAAAACGGGAGAGGTCGAAGTGCAGCGTGCCAAAGTCGCGTAAAAGCGGGAGTGTAGCGCGTCAAGGGCGCGTATACACCAGCTAGCGCTGCGACCGCGACTAGAGGGTGTCCAGCGCCCGTCCCCGTACGAGTAAGAAAGAACCTCGAGAACACCAAAACACGAAAAACGCAGAAAAAGTAGACAAACAGCAAGACACGCACATCAAGCGTATCGTCGTACCCAAAGATGAACTTGAGCTGGGTCGCAAAGTTGCAGCAGGTGCCGGCCATGAAGCCGAAGAGGACCGAGGCGGCTGGGAAGGAGAGTCAGTACGAGGCGGAGTGGACACGATGAGAATAGAATGAGAATGAGAATGAGAATGAAAGATGCGCGGGACGAAGCGCGAGGGGAGATGTTTACGAGGAGCACGACGAGTCTGCCCTCGCGAATGCACGAACAAGTCGACGATACGGCACCAAAGGAATGGAGTGGAAGCGAACAGAAAGCCACTCACGCGCCCCAACGTACCCGCTCGCGGGCGTGATCGCCACGAGGCCCGCGACCGCGCCGGAGCAGAAGCCGACGGCGGACCATTTGCGCTCGAGGCGCCAGTCCTGGGGGTAGGTCAGCGGGGTGTTAAGGGTAACGAGGCAAGAGAAGAAGGCGGAGGAGGGGGATGGGTGGAGATGGGAGGCGGCAGCGGGGGGAGAAAGAAAGAGGGCGGAGGTGTGGCGGGGAGTGCAGGGGAAGGCATGGGGCGACACCGACACCGACGACGCCGACGGCGCCAGCAGGACACAAAAGCAAGCGGGCGGGGTCCGCTCTTCGGCGCGCGACGCCCTTCTGGTTTCCGACTTCCCTACACCCCCATTGCATCGAGGGCCGCCCAAGCGCCGCCAAGCGAAGCACGCGAGATGGCGCGATCCTGTCGCGGCCCCACACGTCTCCCGTTCTCTCTTCCCTCCATCTCTCTCTCTCTCTCCCTCCCTCTCCGCTCCCCACCCCGCAACCAAACCAAACTCGCCCCATCCCAGCCGCAGCCCCACGCCACGCCCCCCAACCAAACCAAAAAAAAAAAAAGGGGAAAGGCAGCCACGCACCCAGAACATCCACACGAGCCCGCCCACGCTGGCCGCGAGGTTGGTGATGATGCACGCGTTGGCGGCGCGGAGGTTCGCGGAGAGGGCGGAGCCGCCGTTGAAGCTGGTGAGGAGGGGGGGTTAGCGGGTGCGTAGGGGAGTGAGAACGTAGCGAAGATAAGATGGGGTTGGGGGAGTGGAAGGAAGGACGGCGCAAAGGGCAGGTGGGAGCGGGGGAGAGAGATGTGAGAAGAAACGGGGGGCAAGCCGGGTGGGGAGAGTTAAAAAGGGAGCGGGGAGGCGGGGAGGATAGTGAGGAGGGAAGGGCAAGCGATCGAGGGGATGCAGAGGAGAGGATGGAGGGAGAGCGGGGAGTGGTAGAGAGGACGGGTGGACGGCAGGGGAGGGAATCAGGCGATCGACTGGGATTGAAGCGGTGGAGAACGAGAGGGTGCAAATGTGGGATGAGGCGGAAGAGGAGGGCGGGCAAGCGACGCAGCGCGGGTCGAGGGACGACAGTGTCGTCTCGAGAGTCCGCAACGAGCTTCGGAGGCGAGCGATACCTGGCGAGCTGGGCACCGTTGCGCAGCTCGACCTCGGCACCCAGAAGCGGCTCCCCGCCTTGACCCTTCCCCGACACAAAAACATGGTACGATACAACGAAAGTAGAGGTAGACGTAGGAAAGGAAGCCAAGACGCACCCGAACCACCCAAACCAGAGGAAGACCGTCCCGAGCACGACGTACGACGTGTTGTGCGGCTTGTAGGCGAGTCTGTGCGGGTGCGTCAGTACGAATACGAATGTCGCAATAGAGCAATAAAGCGGATTATGCAAGGGGAAAGCCACGTCCGCGCAGTCGCGTCGCGTCGTACGTCGCCCTCGTAGAATAAACGAAGACCCGCCGCTCACCTCGCACTCCCCCACCCCGTGCGCTTCCCGAGGTACACGCTGATGGCGAGCGCGGCGGAGCCCGAGGAGATGTGCACGGGCGAGCCGCCGGCAAAATCGAGCCCGCCGAGGACGAAGGACCTGTCGTGCGCGCGAGGCCAATCAGCTCTTCAGCTCTTCTGATAACAAAACAAAACAACAGAGGGGAGAGGGAGGACGTACCACCCGTTGCTGTTCCACGTCTACAAATAAATAAATCCCAAATCGAATGAGTATGGATTTTGATAGATAGAAGCGGCTGAAGCACGCACCCAACAAGCGATCGGGTCGTACACGAGCGTGCTCCACGCGAAGACGAAGAAGATGAGCGGCCAGAGGCGCCCGCGCTCCGCGACGGCGCCGATGGCGAGGATCGGGCTGTGTGAGTAAGGGCGTTAGCGCGCACGAGGACAGCAGAGTGAAGCACGCACGTAATCGCGGCGAACATGAGCTGGTAGACGCAGAAGACGATGCTAGGGATGCGCGAGGACCCGATGGAGGGCCGCTCGAGGACGCCGCGGAGGGCGAAGTACTGTGTGCGGGCGCGCGTTGGTCGTCGCTGTCTCGGTAGCGAATGAGCGCAGACACGCACCTTCAGATCCCCAATATACGCGCTCCCGGTCTCGCTAAACGCCAAGCTGAACCCCCAGAAGAACCATTGGAAGGACACGACCGCGACGGTCATCATGCTGAGATATATCATGCTGAGCGCGTTCTACGGGTGCATTAGACTTGTTCTGAGACTTTATTCGAAAGGGCAACGCACCTTGCGGCGCAGGAGGCCGGAGTAGAAGAAGCCGACGCCGGGGATCATGAGCCAGACGAGGGCGGTGGAGGTGAGGACCTGCGAGCGGGCGTCAGCCTCTGCTGTGCTACTCGAGGGAGGGCCGCACGCACCCACGCAATATCGCCGAGATTATACACGACGAGTGTGCCATCGCTCGGGTCGACCCAGTTGATGTCGCCCGAGGCGTCGTACGTGATGTTGAGCGTGCGCGCCGCGAGCTGGTGCAGGTACGAGTTGGCGGTGTCGGCCATAGTGTAAAGGCCGAGTGGTAAGCTTTAGAGTGTAGAGCAGAGCTTACGAAGCAGCCTAGCCTACAGCGCACTCAGCCCCCTCCTCGGCTTGCACAAAACTCCATCAACTCACCTAACTTTCCTTCACTTCACTTGACGAACGACGAAGAGAAGACAAAGAGGAACCACCGCCACCCTCGCATTTCGTAACCCTCTTATCTCCCCTTGCCTTGTGCGTGCCTCTCCAACATTCATCCGCCAAGCGCTAACGGAATTGGAAGGCACGCCAGCTGATTGGACGATAAGTCCAGAGCGGGTTGATACGACCGATTTGATTGATTGACAGGAGGAAAACAGCGGCTGCGCGCGAGTGGCGGGTGTCCGAACGTCCGATACCGTCGTATCTTAAGTGCGCAAGTATTCTGGGCTAGCGCGCAACAGCTTACAGTACACTGTACAGCGTCGGTGGCGCGTCGCACACTCGATTTTCGGTGCGCAGTTGATCGCCGCCGTCATCGTTGCCACCACTGGCACCGACATCCGCATCGGCGAGACGACCGACATCTCCGACCGCGGCCGCGGGTTTCTCCGACGTTGCTCAAACATTCAGCCGCCGTCGACGTCTAGATTGGCCCAGGAACAATGGCATTGCCGCATTGACACCGACAGCAACAGCAGGCCGCCGACGGACAGCTAGCTCAACTCCACAGCAACAGTGGAGTTCCCGCGGCAATAAGCAGCCCACAATAATTCAATGGAACGGCCCGTTTCTTGGCGCCAACGTTACAGCACCAACCAGCCCCACAAGCACCGCTTAGGATTCATTCATTCACATTCATTCATGCAATAAAGACTAACTAAGGGAGCTGGGGCCCCGCGGTATGCCGTATCAAATATGGGAATATTCCTCCCCAAGCCATACTAAACACTGCTGTACCTGGGTCGCACGACCCCACACTCACACAGCCCCGCGGTTCCTTTTCTCATGGCCATGCTTACACAGTACACCGTGTCTGTCAATGTCCATCAACCTTCTGGACTCTGTTACTTATCTGTGATGAAGCGAGGCACAAATCCGCTCGCTCGTTTAGTTTAGTGTAGCGACCGTGACAGTTGAGTCTCAGCCCTCCACCAAACTCCCGTGGAACGATTCCCAGAAAAGAAAAAGCGCAACAAAGACGCAACAGTGGAACCCGGGGAGTCGAACCCCGACCTGCCGCCCAATCTATGCAATCTTCCGCACCGAAAGCGGCCGTGCACCGTGCACCAGGTTCCATTTCTTTGCCGTGCTCCTAGCTCTACATTACACTTTATCAAGTCTTTTTCGACTGCCAGCCGGCAGAGCAAAAGTCCATGACTGCCCCGTATGGGGACCCGGGGAATCGAACCCCGTTTTGCTGCTGCAATTCAAAGTTGCCTAATTAAAAGCAGCTGTGCACCATACACCAGGTCCCAGTTCCTTCCTCAGTTCCATACCTCACTACATGAGATACTTACCTTTTGCAACCTTTGGGTAAAAAGAGCGAAAAAAGCGCAACAAGAATAGTGGGACACGGGGAATCGAACCCCGGCCTGCTGCTGCATGTCATTCTATTGGGCACCGAAAGCAGCCGTGCACCGTACACCAGATCCCATCTCCTTCCTCAGTTCTGTACTGTACCTCAATAACCACTCTACATTTTGGCCGAAGAATGAGAAGGAAAAAACAAGCTGGGACCCGGGGAGTCGAACCCCGACCTGCAATAAATATAATGATATTTGCCAACTTACGGCCCACAGCCGTGCACCGTACACCAGGATCCCAGTTCCTTGGCATTGTTCCTATCTACTCTCTATCAAGTCTTTTTTCGACTGCCAGCCGGCAGAGCAAAAGTCTACAGATTGTCCTGGTCATGGGGATCCGGGGAATCGAACCCCGTCTCGCTGCTGCACCTATTTTTCAAATTCTTCATTATCGAAGGCAGCTGTGCACCGTACACCAGGTCCCATTCTGTGCGTTGTTCGGTCCTGCACTAAACACTCTGTCTTGTTCTCATTCTTTTATTCTTCTGCCAAAAATACACACTCCAGATGGCTGATTGGGATCTGGGGAGTCGAACCCCGTCTTGCTGCATACACTGCAAGCTTCTCGGGGATCAAAAGCAGCCGTGCACCATACACCAGGTCCCATTTTCTTCCTTTGTTCTGTATCTCTCTGCATGGGATGCATTTTGCAAGCTTTGGGCAAAAAGATCAAAATGCGTCACAAGACATGGAATGGGACCCCGGGGAATCGAACCCCGGCCCGCTGCTGAAATGACTCCAAGGGGTAACATTTAAAGTGCGCAGCTATGCACCATACACCAGGTCCCAGTTCCCTGCTCAGTTGCGCACTCTAGTAAGTACTCTACATTTTGGCAGAAGAGCGGGAAAAAAAAAGGTGAGCGAGTCGGTCATTGGGACCCGGGGATTCGAACCCTGTCTTGCTGCTGCAATTCGTTCCTGCATTTTCATCAAGAGTAGCTGTGCACCGTACACCAGGTCCTATTTCCTTCCTCTGTTATGTACCTCGCTAGGTGGGATACATTTTACAAGCTTTGGGTAAAAGAGAGAAAAAAGCGCACAAAGGCTGTAGTGGGACCCAGGGAATCGAACCCAGGCCTGCTGCTGCATGTCATTCTATTGGGCACCGAAAGCAGCCGTGCACCGTACACCAGATCCCATTTCCTTCCTCAGTTCTGTACTGTACCTCAATAACCACTCTACATTTTGGCCGAAGAATGAGAAGAAAAAACAAGCTGGGACCCGGGGAGTCGAACCCCGACCTGCAATAAATATAATGATATTTGCCAGCTTATGGCCCACAGCTGTGCACCATACACCAGATCCCAGTTCTTCGCATTGTTCCTAGCTCCACATTACACTTTATCAAGTCTTTTTCGACTGCCACCCTGGCAAAACAAAAGTCTACAATTGTCCTGGCATGGGGACCCGGGGAATCGAACCCCAGTCCTGCTGCTGCACCTATTTATCAAATTCGATCCTGATGCGATCATATCGAAGGCAGCTGTGCACCATACACCAGGTCCCATTTCCCTGCCTTGCCTTGTTCCTACCTTTTCTAAGTTCTTTTCTTGATCGAGTCTTTTTCAACTGCCAGCCGGCAAAGCAAAAATCCACGATTGCCCAGTATGGGGACCCGGGGAATCGAACCCCGTCCTGCTGCTGCAGGTGCAGAAACTTATACAGTGAGCAGCTATGCACCGTACACCAGGTCCCATTCTGTGCCTTGTTCAGTCCTGCAGTGTGCACTACACACTCTGTTTTTCTTTCTCATTCTTCTGCCAAAAATGCAAACTTCAAATGGCCGATTGGGACCCAGGGAATCGAACCCCGTCTCGCTGCTGCACCTATTTATCAAACTTGATCGTGACATCGAAGGCAGCTGTGCACCGTACATCAGGTCCCGTTGCCTTCCTCTGTTCTGTACCTCTCTGCATGGGATACAATACATTTTGGCTGAGTTGAACGAAAAAGAGAGTGGATCAGGAATTGGGATCCGGGGAGTCGAACCCCGCCTTGCTGCATATACTGAAAACTTCTCTGGGATCAAAGGCAGCTGTGCACCATACACCAGGTCCCATTTCCTTCCTCTGTTATGTACCTCACTACCTGGGATACATTTTGCAACCTTTGGGTAAAAAGATCAAAATGCATCACAAGACATGGAGTGGGACCCCGGGGAATCGAACCCGGGCCGGCCGCTGAACACCTTCGAGGAGTAACACTTAAAGTGCGCAGCTATGCACCATACACCAGGTCCCATTTTCTTCCTCTCTTCTGTACCTTGGTTAATGCACTATGCACATTTCTTGGCAGTTGTTGAGAGAAAAAGGAAATCAGGAAGGACCCCCGTCTTACTGCTTGGATCCATTCAATGAATTATTTACTGAAAGCAGCTGTGCACCATATACCAGGTCCCATTTCCCTGCCTTGTCCCTACCTTCTCTTTATTGTGTCTTTTCGACTGCCAGCTGGCAAAACTTGGGCAAAACTTGGGCAAAAGAAAGGCATATACCACAGCTTATTGGGACCCGGGGAATTGAACCCCGTCTGGCTGTATATCTATTGCATTTTTTTCGCAGATCAAAGACGGCTGTGCACCATAGACCAGGTCCCATTGTCTTCTTCAGCTTTTTACCTCAACAAACACTCTACATTTTTGGCAAAGTTGAGAGAAAAAATGTCTGGAAACCATACTGCCAGCAAACATGTTACTTTGCACCATTGTATGGGACCAGCTGTGCACTGTATGCCAGATCCCACTTTCTTCCTCTGTTCTGCACCTCAATAAACACTCTACATTTTTGGCCGAAGAATGAGAAGAAAAAACAAGCAAAGGAACTGGATGGGCCAGGGACCCAGGGAGTCGAACTCTGACTTGCAATATAAGCATCTTCGCCAGCTTACAGCCCACAGCTGTGCACCATACACCAGATCCCATTTCTTTGCATTGTTCATAATCTCACTTTATTGTGCCTTTCGACTGCCAGCGGGCATGCAAGACTTGATGCAGCCGGAATGGATTGAGTCGCACGAGTATCCTGACGGGTTCGGGAAACAGATTGTATTTGTGGTAAAGACCCAGTAAATGGTCTATGCTATGGACTCTGATCGACAGTGAAATTCAACTATCAATCGAGTATAAGCCCAAGCTCCTTGAAATTCAAAGGAGCTTGATAAGGCGGATAGTCTGCGAGATTTCTAGCACCGGAAGCGTTCAGTATTCAAAGGCGGTGCTTACCTTTGAATCTTGCAAGTGCCCTAAGCCTAGTTATGCTCGGAGTTACTCAACGAGGTCTCGGAGGTACTCGACGAGACTGGATTGCCAGGCGAGGCGATGGTGGGAAGTAAAGTGTAGATGATCATTTCTCGGCTCGTGACTTCTATGTAACGTGTGTATAGTACGTAAATAGAGTCTGATAATCTTGTAACTACATCGCAACCGCGAAGTACTCGAAACTACGTGAAACGGATCGGTACAAATACAAGTATTCGTGTATTTTTTTGATAGATTCCTTACAGGGCAAAACTTGGGCAAAAGAAAACCATAAACCAAAAGGCCGACTGGGACCTGGGGAGTCGAACCCTTATCTGCTGCTTCAGGTTTTTCGAAACTTTTTCCAATACCGAGAGCAGCTGTGCACTGTACACCAGATCCCACTATCCTGCTCAGTTTTGTACCTTATTAAATACTCTACATACTTCTTGAAGTTGAGAAAAAAAGAAGTGGAGGAGTCAGTGGGAGCCAGGGATGTCGAACCCCGACCTACTACTACAGGTTCCAGAAACTTCAAAGTGAGCAGCTGTACACCATACAGTGCATACGAGGTCCCATTATTCTTCTCTGCTCCTACCTTCCCTTTATTGTGCTTTTTCGACTCCTAGCTGCCAAAACAAAAGTCTATGACCGTCCGGTGATGGGAACCCAGGGAGTCAAACCCCGTCTCACTGCCGCACCTTGATGCAAGGTCATTTGGAGCAGCTGTGCACCGTACACCAGATCCCACTTCCTGCCTCTGGTCTGTATCTTACTACCTAGGATACATTTTGCAAATTTGGAGAAAAGATTTTTAAAAAGTGGTCAACAGGGGACAGAACACTGGGACCCAGGGAGTTAAACCCCATTTTGCTGGCCAAATTGTCTATCGAAAAGCAACAGAAAGCAGCTGTGCACCGTACACCAGGTCCTGTTTCCATTCTCAGCTCTACACCTCACTACATGGGATACATTTTGGCACAAAAAAGAGAGAAAAAAACCTAGGGTTGGATGAGTTGGGACCTGGGGAATAGGGGTGCTCAATTCTTAACTCACCCGTCCCGTCTCGTTGAATAATCAATTAATATTTGCTCGGAACAAGCAAACTTCAAACTCCGCCACATTGCAAGGCAACCTCTCACTGTTTCCTACCTCTAACATGCTGCTCAAGCCGTGAAAATGATCAATAAATTACCATATAAGTTCCTGGGCCAAAGATGTGCCCAGAGAAAATTATATGACATTTATTAACAAGCCAAAAACGTCGGGAAGACAAACGGAGTGCAACTCGATGAGATAATTTTTTCTTTGCCCACGATGGATCCCATACCGTCTATAACACATTTTAGCTCTGCGGCACTACTCAAATTCGGTGAATGTGGGGCAGAGGGCCGGTCAGTGGGCCGCCGGAAATGCATAGGCTTCGCGGAGTTTGAAATTTGTTTGTTCCGAGCAAATATTAATTGATTATTCGACGA